GTGTTCCTGTCATGCTCCTGGTGCTTCCCAGGGGCTCAGGCTCCATGCTCAGCTGCAAGAGCAGAGCTTGCCTGGGTTTTTATGGTGCTCCTTGAGATCTCTAAGCAGCCTCATGCCAGTGGTGCCTCTGCCAGAGGGACCAGCAGTTTGCAGGTGGGAGAGGATTAGAAGTATTCCCCTTGGGTATTTCAGTCTTGGAACCTCAGATAGAGGAGACAGCATCCCTTTATCCAAACTCCATTAATATCCCATAAAAAAGGCAAATGCTCCTCATTTTGGGGGAGCAGGCAGAGTCAGTGTGCTCTGCTCTGGCCATACCCCAGACTCTGTGTGTGTTTGGGGGGATGCAGACCCTGGGCTGTGGCACAGCAGCACAAATGCAGCCCAGCAGGATGCTGGCTGGCTGCAGAGCATGCAGCTGCACAGCTGCTCCTGCATGCAGTGCAGGGACCACCACTGGAGTGGCAGAGGGTTTGTGACCACAGGGTGGCTTGGAGAATGCTGTGGAGCAGCACAGAGAGGGAGAATGGGAAGCTCCAAGGAGGAGGCTCCAAGCAGCAGCAGCCAGGAGCCAAACTGTGACATGGGGAGATAAGGCTCTTGATGGATAGACCTCAGAAGGTTTGAAGGTTTTTGTTCTGCTTGGATAAGCAGTCAAATATTCACACAGATAAGCTCCAGAAATGCATCTGCTCTGAAAAACCTTTGTGTCTTAAAAAGCAGGGCTGGAAATAGAACAAGAGAATTCCTCTGTGGCTTTTGTGGCTCCTGGGCTTCCCTTTCCCAGCACCAGGATGACCAGAATTACCCATACAGGCAAACCAAGAGTCAGGAGAGCTCCCACAGCCAGACCTTCCCTGAACCTCAGGCATTCAGCTGTGCCTGAGCCCCAGCCTAGCTGAGGGCTGAAGGCTGAGGATGGCCACAATGAGCCTGCACTTGGAATGTCAGTGCTTGAGTGGAGTGCTTTTGGAGGGTGCATCACTTCCTTGGAAACAAACTGGACTCCTGTGCTTTACTCCAGCGAGTTTCCTTGTACCATAAGTTGTTTAAACTGTTTGTCATTATGCATTTCCCACTCAGACAAAAACAGACCACAAAGCCTGAGGCACCAAGGCTGGTAGGAAAACGGAAATCCTGCTCCAAGTGGGCAGAGAGCAGCTCCCTGGCGCTGGGCAGCGCTGGCAGACCCACCAAAGGTTTGGGGCAGGAAGCAGCAATTTCTGTAGAAACCTTTCAGGTTCACCTTTGAAATATGACTCCCAATCAGTTCTGCAGAATTCCTGTCTGAGCATCCCCCAGTTTGGCATGCTGAGGGAGGAACCAGGTCCAAACCCCGAGGTCAGAGCAGCAAAGGGCTTCCAGCAAGCCAGAGAGTCCCTTTGGGGTCCCACGCAGGGTCAGCTCATCTCTTCCCCTGTGCCTCTCCCTGGGCTTTTCAATTTGCCATTCATTACTTTGCCCTAAGAGTCTCCCCATCCACCCCTAGCTTTAACCTCTTCCCTGCCAGGCTGCGTCTAGAGTTTAGAGGAGAAAGTTGTTTATGTTAAATTGCTTTGTAATCGTTTCCTCCTCCGCCACCTCCCTTCCTTCCCCAATAAAAGCCCTACGGCGTGTTTGGCAAATCCTCTAAACAAAGAGGAGGGTTTGGAGACCCAACAAATATTTGGTGAACCCAGTGGGGAAATAATGTCTTTTTTGAAGGACGTTGCAGCCTGAATTCATAATAGTAGGAAATCAGTGTCCACCCTAGGTAAGGAATTGTCTACTTGCAGCCACCAGGCATAAAATACAGATGCCCCTGAAGCCAAAAGTCATCACTGGGTGCAGGGGGTTAACCCTGTGTTTTCCTCCCCAGTCAAGATGGTGCTGATGGCAGCAAATCCATGTGTTTGCTGATCTCCAAATACTTGAAGTTGTGACAAGTGGGCAGGGAAAGGAGAAGATAAAAAGGCAAGAGTGTTTTGAACTCACCTAACAGAACAGAAGCACAAGGCAATGAAAATCCATTAGCCTGACTGCTCCCTGCAGAGGAAAGCCAGGCACACAAAATCCAATTCATTATTCTCTTTCTTATTTAACGCTAAGTAAGTCATTGAACTTTACTACTTGATCTATCCATTTTCTTTAGTAGTAGGGCTGCAGGAAATCTTTCTCTTCTCAAAGGGGGTTTCAAGTTTCTCACTGATATCACATAAAAAATACTTGGGAGTGTATGAGTAAAAAATAACTGCATTTCAAAGAGAGCTTGAGCCATGCAGATAATGATAATTTTTCTTCTATGAAGCACAGAACAGAAGAGTGGAGGCCCCTGGGAGCTGGGAGCACCATTGTTCTTCTTCCAGGCCATTATCTGGAGACAGGCTCTGAGATAGACTCTGATGAGGCCATGGGAAGGATTATCTGCTTGGAGTGCTAATGGCATGCATTTGACAACATCAACCTTTTAATTTATGAGGTGCCTTGTAACCTACAGGCAAAAAAATCATACCATGCAATAGCCCAAACACATCCGGTGCAATTAAAAATTATCTGATCAAAGCCCAGCCTGCTCTACAGCCCCACTTCCCCAATTGCAGCTATGGAGAAAAGTCCCACCTTCCTAAAGGCACCTCACTGGATTTTGTACTGCGATGGCAGCGTTATATAACGAGAAATGTATTAATGGAAACTGTCCAGCACTGAAATCATTCCAGCCTTTTTATCACCACATTCCTTGCTCCCACATAAGTGAAGTGTGCAGGAATAAAAGCTGCTAAACATCATTCACCAGCAGACACACATGACGGGGTTTGCTCACCAGCCCCTAACAGCTCAGTGGTGCCCATGAGTGTTGGGATTCATACATACACTCTGGGCAAACAGAGCTGCTCTTCCTGGGAAATTATTTTTCCACTGTCCCTGGCTTGTGGCCATGTCACCCTCTTGCATTTGAGGACAGTTTAGTGCTGTGACTCACAAGAGTTACTCTCTTAGCTGCCCTGGTCCCAGCCTCTGTCAAAAGTTTGTCCTGTGCTCCATGATCTGGTCTTTGAAATAATCAGACTTAAATATTTTTTCCCTATTGCACCAGTATTCGTAAAAAAAAAAACAAAAAACAAAAAAAAACCAAAAAATAAACCCCAAAAAATAACCAAAACTGACTTTTCACATGCAGTGAGAAGCTTAATGGCTTAGTCAATATGCCTCTGAATAGAATATTCAGAGCAGCTTCTGAAAGGGAGGGAAGGTTTGGGTGGCAAGCCCTCTTTTTTCAGCACCAATCAAGCAAAACAATGGGCCAGAGAGGGCTGGTCTGGGTCTCAGCTTCTGCAGCATCACCACTGGACATGAGATTGGTGACCACAGTGATGGATCCAAACCAAGGCTGCTACCAAACCAGATGACCCCTAACCTATCACTCTGCATCTTCCTGTGCCAATTGTTACTCCTGTTTGTGCAACCTGCTGGGTGAGCTGAAACAAACCTTGTCTGAAAGGGCTGGCTCCCAGCCAAGGAGCTCACTGCTCCTGCAGCAGCACAGGGAGCAGAGCCAGCCTGGGAAGCAGGACATGGAATGGGAACTGAGGGCTGGGGAGGAGAGGGGACAAGCACTAACCCTGGCTTGGACAGGCTGATGTTAAAAACCACAGACAGGCATCAACCAGCTGGTAACTGCCTGGCAGTGAAACAGGAACAAAACCTCTCCCATGGATGCTCTCAAGGTGGTTCAGAGCACTGCTACAGCACCTGTTGTGACTGGCAATTACTGCACCTGCCTTGTGCTGCACGTGAGAGAAAAGCTCCAAAAATCCCGAGTATTGGACTCAGGCTGTTTTGTGAGCATCCCCAGAGATGCTTCCGTGTCAGATCCAGCCTGGTGGTGTGGCTGTCCCAGTCTGGGGACGGGAACTTGCCAGGGTAGCAGCGATGCTCAGGTGGGGCTGTATGTGAGCAGCAGGTCCCACATCACATCACCCTCCTGCCTGCTCCTGGCAAGGATCGAGGATCAAGGATTGAGGATCAAGGATTGAGGATTGAGGACTGAGAACTGAGGATCAAGAATTGAGGACTGAGGATTGAGAATTGAGGAACAAGGACTGAGGATCGAGGAACGAGGACTGAGGATCAAGAATCGAGGGTTGAGGATCAAGGATCAAGGAACGAGGATTGAGGATCAAGAATCGGAGATTGAGGATGGAGGATCGAGGACTGAGGATCGAGGATGGAGGATTGAGGATCGAGGATGGAGGATTGAGGATTGAGGATTGAGGATCAAGGAACGAGGATTGAGGATCAAGGATTGAGGATTGAGGATGGAGGATGGAGGATTGAGGATCAAGGATTGAGGATTGAGGATCAAAGACTGAGGATGGAGGATGGAGGATCGAGGACGGAGGATCGAGGATTGACGATCAAGGATGGAGGATGGAGGATGGAGGATTGCTGCCTGCCAGCGAGCGCTGCCTGCCAGCCAGCACAGCCCACACCGCCTCCTAAGTGAGCTAATTGAGATTTTATTTGACAGCTCCCAAGTGAGCATTTAGGGGAAGAGCAGACAAACACAGCAGCCCTGGCTGAAGGTGGCTGTGGAACAATGGGAGCTCTGCAGGACATCTCCCAGCTCACCTGCTGCAGCCGGAGAGGAAGCACTCCTCCCTCGCTGCACAATGAGAGGTGGCACAGGCTGACACTCACCTTTGTGTCTCAGGACACCTCTGTGTCCCTGCTGGAAGCCAGGACATCCCTCTGGCTGTCCTGGATGGCTCAAGCCCCTGCCAGGGGGCTCAGAGACCTTGGCACCAAGCCAAAGACACCTGTGACTTTGATTTTGACCCATGGAGAAAATTACCACCTTTATATGAAGAATTATGAGTCAAGAGAGTTTAAGTAGAATAATAGTTAGCTTGTCACAGGGCAAAAAATAGATTTTTGAGGTTTTTAGAATGGGGGCTTGGGGTCCCAAGATGAAGGAATTTGGGTGTACCCTGTCCTTCTTCTTTCTTCTTCCAAGCCTCCATGTGCTGGGTGATGCTGGCACTTTTGAATTGGTTTAAGGTAGAAACTCGCTGTCTAACATAGGTGATAGGTACTGGGAAGTTACAGTAAATAATATACAGTTATATATAGTTTTTAGTATAAAAAGGTAACACAGCCCTGAGGGTGGTCAGTGCCTTTGTCCAACCTGCTGGACAGACCTCGGCAGATCAGAGAAAGAATTTTATAGGTAAGAAATAATAAGCAACCTTGAGAACAAGAACAGAAGAATCCTGACTCCTTCTTTGACCTCCGGGTTGGGAAAAGAGACTTGTACATATCTGAGAGTCCCTGTGAGCAGCAGAGATTCTGAGAGGTCCCTGCTGACACCCAGGCAGGTGAGAGGGGCACACACAAGGTGATGGGGGCACAGAGGGTGTCCCTAGGGAGGCTGTGGTGGATGGCATTTGTCCATCACCAGGGTGTTTGTAACCTTTGCTGGACCAGTCACAGCAGGGCTCTCCATCTGCACATGGAAACTTTAACCCTGAGCACTGTTCTCCCTTCCCCACTAGGAACTGCTTTTCTCAATTCCTTCTTCTTAATAAGAGGTATCTAAATTTTGGCAGCAAAGCACTGTTCAAATTTTACCACTGGAAGAATGTTTTGTGATGAGCTACTGTGCTGCACCTGCAATTGCTCCTTGCAGTGGCAGGGTCCCCCTCTGAGGGAGGGCATCTTGCAGGTTTTAAGGGGGCTGCAGCACTCACCTGGCCCTGCAAAATGCCTTGTTGGTAGCTGAAATACTTATACACCTAGCAGCTGCTGAGATTTTGAGGCCTTTAGCCTCTTTGTTTGCTTCTTTGGTGTATACACTTAGATCTGCCTTTCAAAGCATTGTGCCAATGAGCTTAAGAGCAATTATCAAAGTAATTTTAGTAGGAAGAAGCCAAATATCATGGCTTAGAGAGAGCCACTGGGCCAGGCTTGCAAAGGTACATCACTGTCTAGAGACACACAACAGTTGCTAATGGCTAAGGCACTGAACTAGTAAAAAAATCCTCATTTAATCTCATTAAGGACAAGAGGATTTGGTGCATTACACAGGATCAGATGGGAAGGGTACACCATTACATCTGAGATGCTCTGCTAATCATGCCAATAGCAAAAGTCTGCAAATGGTAAGCTTCTGTTTTCTTCTTTAGGTTGTGAACCTGGAGGTCAGGACTCATTTCCTATTTGTCTGGGAATTTTGCACTCTGGTGCAGCCAGCATTAATAACTCTGAGCATCGATCATGAAAGGAATGAGTAAAACCAAACCTAGACACTGCCCAGCACCTGCTACAGTTCACATCTGGATTCAAACAGCTGCCAGGGCACAGACAAAAAAAAATTGTGCTGATAGGTGCTAAGGCCAAGCAGGCAAACATTACCATTAAAAACCTGGAAGCTGAGTGGGGCACGGAAGAAATAAAGTTATTTTATGAAGCAAATGTGAGTACCAAGCTGCTGGTTTTGGTAAACCAGGAAGCTGATCACCAGTTTACATAACAAACCCAACTCTGCTCCATTTCCAGCACAGCAGGCCCAGTTCTGTGGCTGGTTGGGAGAACAGAGGATGAGTCAGGGCAGGGCATGGCTGGCAGCCAGTGCCAGCATGCCCGGGACAGCACGGGCACACCCTGCACCCCACAGCACCTGCCCACAGCACTGCCACCCCCGAGGCCATGGGGCACCTCCTGCTTGGCACCACGGAACAGGAGGGAGGCTCCAGGATGGGGGACGGCTCCAGGTCCAACAAAACTCAGCTGGAGCCACTTGGAGGGGAGGAGGAGATGCTGAGGGGTCCCATGTGCCCATGGCTGGCCAGGGAGCTGCGTGGCTTTGCATCAGCTGAAAGCTGCTCTGGTGTGCTTTAGTCTCTGCTGTTATCCACAAAGAACAAGAAAAACTTCTAGGAATGTTTTTGGGCATATTTCAGCTGCCAGTCTTTGGTGGCATGGTCCCCATGGAATGTCTGACCTCACGCACTTCTTAACCTGTGTTTCCACAGTGCCTCTGCCTGGTGCATCCCTGTCCAAACCAATTACACTTTACCAATAAAAGGCAACACCCACAGCATGGCCAAAGATACCCCAGTTTTCCTTTTTGCATTGCCAATCCTGTGTTTGCTCACCATTATCACCTTTTTTACCCTTTTCCCATCTTGGTCACTTTTCCCAGCAGAGTTTGGCAGGCTGAAGTTACTGAATTGCAGGGATAAATCACCTGCTGTTACCATGGGCAGCTGCTCCTGGCTGGATGGGCAGGCACACAAACTTCTCAGAGGAAAAGCAGATCGATTTCTCCTGCCACATGACTGTCCAAAAATATTGTTGATCTTACATTATGTGTGATTGTTTGTATGGAGAGAAAGAATCCTTACTTCCTCCTGGGCCGTTTGGGAATTTGGCAGGGCCTGAAAGCGAGTCAGTGGTGCATAGGGTAATGCTCCATGGGGAGAGTGTGCTTAGTGCTATTGCAGGAGATCACATTAGTGCTCTTGACACAGCCAAACACAAAGTCCCAGCTGAACAATGAGTTTTTAGGAGGAAAAGTGAAACGTTAGCAAGGCGTGTACATCGCTGCGAATTTGCTTCATCTTGCTCGTTGATGTGGTGGTAACAGAACTATTTTTAGGTATAATCCTTCAAACAGAACATGACTTCTCCTTTCTGATTAGTACAAAGCTGGCTGCTAGTCAAAGGATAATTATTTCCCAACACATCACCTAACACACACCAGCAAACAAAACACTCATTATTTGAACTATCCAGCATTAACTGTTGTTTAGCAGTTAACATTTTCTCGACAGCTTTAAATAGGACTAATTGCTCCAGCTTCATTAGCAGAGGTCATTTGCTGTTGGTGACAATACTTTTCTGGAGATAGTGTCTCGTATGAGATTAGATTATCAGGTCAAATTCTGCTCCCAGTGGCAATGATGCCTGACCGCATTTGGCCCCACGAAAGTCTGCTCTTCTCAGTTCATAGCTGCCCAATTTCCAGGCCTGCAGCTGATATATTACATAAAGGAAGTAAGTGCACTCCACCAGACGGGAAATTACAATAAATTAGGAAAGTGTGCAGTACAAGGAAGGTTTGCAAAATAGCCACTTCAAGGTTGTTAATAAAATCTCAGCCTCAGATAGTGTTTAGGGAAAAAAAAGCTGATAAAGAAGTAAAGAAGTTCTCCTTATAGTCGACGACACATGGATATCCAAGAGGAAAAGCAGCATCTCTATAAGAACCAGTGCATGCAGCAACTCAAATACCCAGCTGATGCTGTCAAATGCACAGTTGAGATCATAAGCCAACTTTTTTGCACATAGTTCCGTTCTGCTTGGAGCTATAGACAGTGGATACTGAGGGCTGCAGTCTCAGAGTGCAGCGGATTTGCAGGAGGGCTTCTCTCCTGGTGGGGAGTTCTTCTGCAGAGCCTGCTGTGTGTGTGAAACAGCCTCCACTTCCCTGAGCACAAAAAAAACTGAATCCAGTCCTGATCTAGTCCCATTCAAACACGTGGAGAGAGGCAGCCGTCTTTTCAGGAGTGCTGAGCAAACACTGCATGGAGCGTGGCCGGCGCCTTGGAGAATCAGGCGCCTTCCCTGTGGAAGTCTCCAGGCATCCTCGCCAAACAATTCTGGCCCTGGCAGCTGCAGGACATTTTCCCTGAGCAGATTTCTGGTTTACCTGTGTCTCCCTTCCCTGCAGGCCTGCAGCTTTTTGCTGCTGCTCTCCTGCCCACGTACGTGTGCAGCCGCATGCCTACCACCTTTTCTTTCTGACTCGCAGCTCCAACTGCTAATCCATGTCTGGTTTTCGTCAGAAAAAAATATTCATCCTGAGTGTTTGACTCGCTGCCTCCGGAGTATTTCAGCTGCCCCACAGTGCTTCTCAGAGTATCCTTCTTCCCTGCAGAGAACAGCCTGTTCTGAGTGTGATCCACAGCAGACTGCTCGCCAGCAGCCTCCCCTTCCTCGCACACGTGTGTGCCATATGTCCTGCTCTGTCCTCACTGTTACTGTGCCACTGCCTTTTCCACGCCGTGCAGGATGCACTGGCATGCCCTGTGCAGGCTGCCAGTGGGATTACTTCAGCTGTCTATGAAGGCACTCAACGTGTCAGCCTCCAGACTCTTCCAGCAGGTCCTCAGCTGGCAAAAATTCAACAGCAGGCAAATCCTGACTGCTTTGCTGACACAGCTGGCCCTGCTGAGGTCAGTGGGCCAAACTCATCCTACCTCAGTGCCATTACACTTGTCCAGGAGATGCATCACCCAGGACAGTTCTTCAGCAGGGCAAGCAGAGCAAGTTCTGGCCATAAATTTCCCACCTAAGCTGGACCCTGTTGAAGCAAAAATGTCACCACTTTTTAAAGTCTAAGGGCAGGAGTGTTTAGATAGTTAAAACTGAGTGTGTGAACTGATTTATGAGATGAAGAGCCAAGTCCATCAGGCTGTCCTGCTCCATGCAGTAGGCCCTGTGCTTCTCCAGGATCCAGCACCCTGCTGAGGATGAGGGCTTGACAGTGACTTCAGTTCCCAGCCAGGTGCTGGGATCCTGCCCTGCTCTACCCAGCAGGCAGGGACCTGGCCCTGCCCTGGCTCTGTGATCCACAACATGCACAAGGAGAGCAGCACTGTTTCCCCATCCCATCCCATCCCATCCCATCCCATCCCATCCCATCCCATCCCATCCCAGACATGCACAGCCAACATCTTGCTGCAGTTGCTGGCATCAGACATCACCATCCACGGCACCCTTTTGGTCCTGTTGTGTTTGCTATAATCAAAGATAAAACCAGATTTTTTTTTAATTATTTGATGGCAAAGCCCACTTCACTTAGCTCCTGATCTGATGTCACCCCAGCATTTTAAGGAGCCCATTTCACTCTTACCAAGGAAGACACCATCAACTACAGCTCACATCAAACTCCAGTGACATCAATGGAAAAGTATTATTTACTTCTCCAGTCCCTTTATTTTGTATTTGCTTGAAAAGAGTAACTTTTTTTTTCCCCTGAAAATTCAACATTAGAAATTGCAAAGGACAAATTCCTTAACTTTGAAAACAAAGAAAAATGAACAAATGGTTTCCAAAACAAACTGTGAGCCACCACCCTGAAGAACTCGCTTTGGTAAGCGCTGTTCCTGGGAGCTGATATTTAATTAAACTATACTCCTGAGTTTAATAAAGCCAAAAAATACTTCACTTTTATTCTGCACTGTCTTTTTGTTTCTCTGCCTGCCATTTATTCATTTCAGTAATGAAAAACTTTATGAAACCACAGGGTAGAGCACACCTTCATAAAGCAGTAAAGGAAGACAACCTTCAGAGCAGGGGCACAAAGCTGCAGCCCTTCTGCTCACTGTAACTCCTTACTGAGATCAATGAAAAATACACCATTCAGTTATCAGACCTGCTGGCAGCATGAGGTGGACCCACTTGTGGGGTGGCATGTAATGCTTACAGAGATTTCTTTCCACTCAATACCATTTTAAGCTTTCAAATTAAGCGTCCTCTGTAATCTTAAATATTCTGGTCTCCTAACTCCCAGCCGTGTACTCCAACGACAACAACAACAAAAGAAAAAAGGGGAAAAAAAGACAAGAATATATTCCAGAAAGGAATAGTTCAAGAAAATGAGTATTCATTATCAGAGTGGAAACACCTTGTCATTAGCCATTAATTTTTTCCCATTAATAAGGGAAGTCAGTGGACCTCACTGCAACAGGAACACAACCATACTGGGTTTCAAACAGGTTTTTTACAACACTGTCAGGAAAAGCCATTAGATCAAGTTGTATTGGTAATCTGAGCCATCTTTGGAGAAAAACAAATGCTGTTCTTCCCATTATAGGTTGGTATTGTTTCAAAACCTATAGAGACACACTTGCTTGTGCTGCAATGGTATTTATTGCACATAGACCAATTACTTACACAGTAGTAAATTGCACCAAAGTATAAATATGTTATAAAACACACACACAGAGAAAAATGGAAATGACACACAAGTGCTAAAATAACAGCAGATTCACGTGGGCATTTGGAAATAAAAATAAAAATAATAAAGTCTCTTAAGATATTTTAATTTATAATATGGATATATTTACAGTACCTTCAAAAAATAATATTAAAAAAGTCACTCTCTCAATAAAACTATAACAGATCAGACAAAACCAGAAATCAGGTTCAGGGTCGGTGTTACGCAAACCTCCGTTTCCTTTTCAATCTGCATGTGTGTATGTGTGTGCAAGTAATATCTTCAAATAACTTTACAACTCTTTAACACTGTGCAAAAAACGACTTTGTCGCCATTTTTAAAAAAAATGTGCAGTAAATTTTTGTTGCCAGGATTCTCCCCCCTCCCCCCGTTCATCTGTAATTATAATGAACAAGCTGCAGAAGGTTCCTCACCCCCCCTCCCCAGCCCTTGTCCTAAAACCCCATTAGTGGTATGTAAATATGCTGTTTAATATAAACATGGTCCGTCCATTCCCCTGTACAATATGCACAGTTTGAGGTAGAAGTTTCTCAGCCTGACTGCTATTGTCTGGCCGAAGGAGATAAGCACAGTAACTCACTGCTGGCTGATGCAGAGGGAATAAGCACAAGAGTATGGGTTGGGTTGTTTTACCCCCTTCCAAAACATACCAGCGCTCCTCACTGCTCCTTATTTTCCCTCCCGCTACTCTGCAGGCGAGCAGAGCACGGCTACTCCGAGATTAAAACTCATCTTGCCGGCAGGTCTGTGTCTCGCCGGCCGCG